AGAGAGAGAGAGAGAGAGAGAGAGAGAGAGAGAGAGAGAGAGAGAGAATGTTTGTCTCTCAGTGTAGTCTAAGCAAACATGGGTACCTTATATTCATAATCCTCCCCTCTCTACAACATACCCCTCCCTGAAAGCTAGAATTACAGACTTGGTGACACAATGCCTAGACAAGAACAGTTTTATTTACTATTTTTCTAGGATACTGGACAAGTAAACTTACTGTCTGTTTACATTGAAGACAAAGTTTAAAATGCTGCTTCCTCATGTCTAAGATTTTTTTCACCATAAAAGTTAGAGTAATGTCTTAATAACAATATCTTACATGAATTCAATAAAGTAAACAGGCAATAAACTTATTATGATCTCATTATATGCCCAGAGATGTGAGTGAGAATGAACATTTCCCTCTTGATACTCTTGTAACCTATCATTACTGTGAGTTTTAGCTTATATTTTAATATTGCTGGGTTTTTATATTTTTCAGGAACTCTTTTATTTTGTCTTTTCTGCCACTCAACATCAATTCTCACATCTCATTCCTCAACAAGCTTTAATGTCTTACCCATGATAGTCCTCCATCCGTTCCAAATGCAAACAATAATATAATCCTCCCAGATAACTAAGAAAACCAAATGGCTGTTTTCATTTTAACTAGCATAGTGATCATTTCAAATTCCTACTCATTAAAACCACAATGATAACTGCTCTGAAGCTCTGTGTCACCTTGACTTGACTTGCAAAAAAACCTCTGAGTCTCATTTTTTTTCATTATATAAAGGAAAAACTGAAGAGCATATATCTCAAAAGACTGTGTTCAAATCTAAGTGTTTACCTAGTATAAAGATTGGAACATAGTAAAATGTGCTTTTAAATTTCTATTTTTTAACTTTTAAGGTGTTTTTATTTTCTTTCTAAAAATCGTCTACAACTCAGTGGTAGTAGATAGTGATACCTATTTATCATGTTGCTACTCTGAAGTTTCTTCTGTGATGAGAGAAGAGATAACCCACCTAACCCTCCAGAGAACTCAGTGATATGCAGTGTGAGCTGAAGAGAGTAGAGTGAGTTGGGTGGACTGTGTCCCAATACTGCTACTTACGTAGGTGCTATTCTCTGCTTCTCCCATTAGGAACCATAGGAGACTGGAAGCATCACTTGACTGTGGATCAGAATGAAAGATTTGACAGAATATTCTACAGGAATATGAAAAACATTCCCTTAAAGTTCATTTGGGATATAAATGAAGAGTAGAACCTTAATTACCACATGAATTGATCATATAAAAATGTACTAATCAAAGGTCATTCATAAATATTAAAATTAATTTCTTTCACTCACTTAACTATGAAATATAAAACACAATTCTCGAACAATATAATTAACTTATGCTTAGCTTGCTGGCCATAACACTGATTTCAAAAGTAGCTTTTAGCATTGGTATCTTTCACAAAAATGGTATAACAGAAAACATAAAACATGGCTTGTGATCTTCAGAGATTCTTATATAGTTCACATTTTCTTTACCTTTAATTAATTCAGGATTAAATAAACACTAAAAATCAGTTTACTCTAATACTTAACATTAATAGTTTGCTTTCAAAATCAATATGTTTGTTCAAATGTGCTCTGTGAAATAGAGATGTCATATGAAAACATTTATGCCTTTTTTAAATACTATAACAGATCTCAGTTTGTAGTAAAGACATAAAAGTTAAAGATTAAACATATGCTGGTTTAAGTGTGGATGTCCACACCACCATGCAGCAGATCATGGGGCTAGCTCACTCACACTCAGTCTTCAGGGTCTGCTCACCCACACCTGCACGAGGAGCAACAGCTCTTCTATGCTGCCCTGAGGAGCTCCAGGGCCTGCTCTCCAGACTGGTACAGACAGTGAGGGGCAGGTCCAACTGTGTGAATCCCTATCCTCACCTATCCTCACTGCTTTGGGTGGATAAAGGATTCATGGACATCAACACAATAGCATTCATGGCAAGGTCATGGACCCAGACATGGCCCCTGACAGCAATGTAGGCCCAGATGACACCATGGCCCTGGGTGGCAGCACAGGATACTCAGATCTATATGACCCCAACAGAGACTCAACCCTTGGACAGTAACTTGACCCTAGGTAACAGCCCAGACTCCTGATGTTTGAGTGGCCCTTAGTGGATCTACGCTCCATGCACACAGCAGAATGTGCACAACACGTCACCTGTGCACCACACTAGAGCTCTCCCTGTTGGCAGGGGGTGGGTAGCCAGGCCTGTGAGCATGAGAGCAGGAAAGCTGTACCCTCCCTCATAAGCCAAGAGATGGCAAGGGTAAGGGAAATGTGCCCTTACTGCCCACCCCTTGCCACCTAAAACACATAGGAGGGCCAACCTTGGGGGCATGAAAATGGAAGAGCTGATTCTGCCTTCACCAGGTGACTGGGCAAAACAGTAGAGCTGGCTGTGGCAGTGTGAGTGTGGGTAGGCTGAACCTGAGGGTGTAATAACAGGAAAACTGGCATCATTCTTTGCTATTGGCTGCATCAAGTGAGTGAGCCAGGGCTGTGCTGGAGAGCTCTCCCAGTTAGTGATGGTGAAGGAAAGCTGACAGGCTGACCAATCCAGCTACCACCCAGATCCAGAACCTGGTCTATGAGTTGGCCCATCCCAACATGCACGGAATCCATGAACTGTTGGAGCATGTGATGAGACCAGACCTGCAGATCCAGAGCTACTGAATCTCTATGACACAAGGCACCAAAGGGATATCCAAGAGCAGCCTCAGTGAGGGCCCAGTATCCAGGGCATAGCAGAAGCCAGAGGCCTTGAACCAGACCAATGAGCATTGCAATTAACACAAGTTAAGATGTATGGACTAAAGGGTATACAGTGTGACTCGCTATTTCACACAACACCATTCATGCTGAAATACTTTTTCTTTGTTTGTTTTGTGCTTTTCTTTTAAATTTTATTTTATTTTGTGGATGGAGTTTGCAAGAGCAGAAGGTAGAAGTGAGGAGATAGGAAGAGGAGTGGGATTGGGATACATAGTGTGAAATCCACAATGAATCAATAAAAGATAAGTAAAAAATCCTGCTGGTTTAATTACAAGGTACTTGGATGAAAACAGTTCTGTCTGTAACATATGATCATTAAGCCTATGCCATAAAGTCATTTTAATAACTAGAAAAAATCTAGGTGAATTTCAATTCTCAATGTAGAAGGAATTTAATTAATAAAGCAATTACAGATGTTTAAATTTTTACTGTATTTGGATCATGAATATATGTGGTAGCAGCATTCGTGACGGTCACCAGATGGAACCTGCCGAAGTTGGGCATCATTGCAACACAATACCCAAGATGGTTAATTTATGGGCCTCAAAGGGTTATTTTGGTTTGTGGTTTCATCTATTTCAGTGTGCTGTTGCTTTCTAGTCTATGCAAGGAAATGCATGGTGTAGAATGTGGTACAGCCAAGCAGATCTTCTCAGAACTGTTGGATACAAAGAGAAGAAAATGAAGGCTAAGGGCTAAATATCCCACTCAATGACATGCCACCGTGTGTCTGACTTCCTCCCATTAGGCCCTCCCAGTAAATCCTAATAGTACCATGGATGCTCAGGTCTTTACCATATGTCCATTTGTGGGAAACTTGTTAAGATATCATACATTTCATTGCCCATGTAGGCTGAAACAAATACGTAAATTAATGACACATGAAATAAGAACAGGATGTGTCATACTTTTTGCTTTTCGGGGACTTCTTGATGTTTTTATTTTGAGAAAGGATCTTTTTACATAGTCTTGGCTATCCTAGTCTCTCTATGTAGACCAGCCTGGCCCCAAACTACCCTGCCTCTACCTCCTGAGTGCTGGGATTAAAGGCTATGTCATTATACCTATGTGGCAAATACATGAAAATATCCATTTTCGAAGAAAAAGATTCATCTTGGTTCCTGGGTTTAGAGGTTCTAGCTCATGGTTTACAGGCTTTGTTTCAGGACCCATGATGGCACAGAGCATCATGATGGCTTGAAATATTTGCAGGAGTGTCTCAGTCATATATTTCTTGCAAATATGAATAATTTGGTTCCAATCCACTTACACACTATATAGTATTTCATCGGTGATTTTTGGAGTACTACTAAAAGAAATTTTCTTGAACCTATGCCGAGTCATAAATGAGAAATATGAAGCAGAAAAAGATTTACAGTTTATCACCCTTTCTTTTCTGATTTCTTACTTTGGAATTGTGTGTTCTGTCATCTATAGATTATTTGTTCACTATTCAGAAAAATTTATTTTAATGACAGCCATTAAAATGTGATTTAAAAAAGACTAAAGTTAAGCTAAACACAGATGGGCATGGATGCTTGCATCTTTAATCTGAGCATGGAGGCAGAGGCAGGCGATCTCTTTGAGTTCAAGTCCAATCTGGACTACAAAGCCAGTTCCACAACAACCAGTACTGTTACACAGGGAAATCCTGTCTTTTTGAATTTTTAATATTGATTTTATTGAGCTATACATTTTTCTCTACTCCTCTTCCTTACTCTCCCCTCACCTTCAACCCTCTCCCATGGTCCCCAGGCTGCTAATTCAGTCAGGAGATCTTGTCGTTTTCTACTCCCATGTAGATTAGATCAATGTATGTCTCTCTTAGGGTCCTCGTTGTTGTCTAGGTTCTCTGAGATTGTGAAATATAGGCTAGTTTTCTTTGCTTTATGTCTAAAAGCTACTTATGGGTGAGGACATATAATATTGGTCTTTCTGGATCTGGGTTATTGAAAACAATATGATGTTTTCTAGATCCATCCATTTGCCTGCAAATATCATGATGTCATTTTTCTACTGTATAGTAGTGCACTGTGTAAGTTACATTGTCCTCATCCATTCTGCAGTTGAGGGGCATTTAGGCTGTACCAGTTTTCACTCCCATCAGCAGTGCAGGAGTGTTCCCTTTACCGCACATCCTCTCCAGTTGTCATCAGTGTCTTTGATCTCGGCCATTCTTACAGATGTGAGATGGAGTCTCAGACTTGTTTTGATTTGCATTTCTCTGATGGTGAAGGATTTTGAACATTTCCTTAAGTGTCTTTCAGCCATTTTAGATTCCTTTGAGAGTTCTCTGTTTATGTCTGTACTCCATTTTTTTTATTGGAATATTTGTTCTTTTGAAGTTCAATTTCTTGAGTTCCTTGTATATTTTGAAGAGAAGACCTCTTTCTGATGTGGGGTTAGTGAAGACATTTTCCCATTTTGTAGGCTGTCATTTTGTCTTGCTGACAGTGACCTTTGTTTTAGAAGTTTTTCAGTTTCAGGAGGTCCCATTTATTCATTGTTTCTCTCAGTGTCTATGCTCCTGGGGTTATATTTAGGAAGTAGTCCCCTGTACCAATGTGTTTAAGTGTATTTCTCACTTCCTCATCCATAAGGAAGAACCCCTGTCTTGAAAAACAAATACAACAACAACAACAACAACAAATAAAGCAAGCAAAGAGTCTTTCAGGCCTCCCCCTGTTCAAGTAATGAAGAGACAAATCTCTTTCATTTGAATATGTTCAGTTTCTTAATCAATTATTTCACTAAAACCCAACTGGATTGACAGATGGCACTTGGTGGTAGACTACGTGTGCTCATTAGGGTAGCACCTAGTTATTTTGTGAGGGGAAATCCATGAAAATAAAAAGAGCAAACATCAGTAATTGGAAACTCACTTTCTGAGTACAGAGAAATGTCTGATGATTCATCTCAATATTGAACATCTTTAGAGTAATTGAAGGAACCAAAACAGTAAACTCAAATTTGAATACACCAAGGGAAAGTGAGTCTGTATAGCCAGATTGCAATGTTGGGACAGAGGTCACTAGATGGAAAATTATTGAGAATAAACATAAAGGGTGGGGGAGATTCTGGCTTAACAAACCTAACAGGATTTTTATCTAAAGCAGGACACAGTGATCAGACGTCTCATGGAACACTGAGAAAGACAAGTACCTGGGCTTACCCGTGAATATGATATGAGGTAGCTTGCCAAGCTAGCCTGAGAAGGAAGTACCCAGATGCTGGTGGTCTTAGTAGACTCAAGTCATCTCTCAGGAAGCACACACTCTTCACCCTTGAGAATATGACTAAGGAACTTTTGCCCTTTCCCCTAGCGAACTTCTCAATTCTATGCACCTTTATTCATATTCTTGCTATCTAGAAGACTGAATTCTGGGTAAGGATGATATCTAAGAAAACTTTCACCAGTTGCAAGAAAGAAACCCTGGACTGCCCCCATGGACAGGCAAGGTGAGCAGACACTGTAGTTTAAGACTTGTAAGGCTAAATACTAGAAATAGTCTTGCCACTGAGGCTCAACTCAGTCAGCAATCCAGTCTGGAAGTCATACTTATCTCTTTTCCATTGTTCTCTTGATGGCTGCTAAAGTAAACCTCTCCTGCCTGTTCGCTCTACCTGTCTCCAGTGGAAATTCTATGCTGTGAAAATCCCAACACAAAGAGTATTTAGAATTTGATGGCGATTCTATGGAATCTGTAATTAATTACAGTTTAATCCTGTTAACCATGTGACTGAGCTCTTCTTCATTTGGTGTCTTAATTTCTCTATATGCAGTCTCTACATGTTCTTGTAGAGATCTTTCACTTTCTTGGTTAGGTTTATTCTTGGGTATTTTGAGGCTATTGTAGAGTTGTTTTCCTGATTAATCTCTTGAATTTTGCATTTCCCAAAATTCAACTTGATCTTTCTCAGTTTTTCTATCTTTTTTTATGTAACATGTTCCTGACCTATGCTGTCTTATTTCATCTTAGTCTTTTGTGCTCTTTTTTAATTCATTCAAGAATTTATCCATATCTTTATCCTGTGACTCCATGAAAAATTCTTATAATCCCTTTAAATTATTTCAATAGAATTTTTTATTCCACCCACACTGATAGCCATTGATATCATACTTATAAGTTTCATGGAGTAATATTCATTTCATTTTTTATAATTCTTCTGTTTCTTTACAAATAAGTCTGGAATAATCTTCCATTGAATGTTGTTAGCATCTTGCATTCTATCACTTGAAATACTTTGACTAGTCAATACCCTCTTCTCTCAGTTATTTTCTTTAGATAGAGAATTTTGAACACCAAATATCTCATGTTTTATATAGTAATAAAAACAATTTATCTGGGAGAAAAACACAAAGCAGGCTTATGCCACTTTAAAATTACTGTGTAGTACATTTAGATATTTTTACAATAGTAAGGTATACAATCTATGTTTTTATTATAATTACAAGAAATTAATTCATCACACTTAATTTCTTAAAATAGCTTTCTACTTATAACATGTTTAAGAGCTACCTTGCCTTAGTTCTAGCAATTCCTCAAATAAATCTTCATTCTGGTCTTCCATCTCTGAAAATAAAAAGATTTTTTCCTAATTTCTTTATTTCAAGTATTTCACCCAGTTATAATATTATTCTTTCATGTGTTTTATATTATACACATTGTGATATAGTGCTATTGTCTACTTCTGTTTTTTATTAATAACTGTCACTTTCTTACTCCCTTCCGAAAATTAAATGAGCCATCAAAAGCGGGAATTTAAAGATGTTTAACCCATAGTGCAGAAATAGACTAATCTGACAGGCAAAAAAGAGAAATTACTTCTAAGAGAGAAATAGGAATTGGAGATTTGTGAATTGCCAAATAGTTTAAAGTACAACTCAATGTGTATTCAGTAAAGGGAACATGAAGAGAGAGTGCTGGTCTGATGATAATTTCCAGTAAGAGCACTGAACAAAACAACAATGGGAATGGGTCCAGAATAAACAGCCATATAAGTTTTAGTGACAAGAAGATTTTTTAAAAGAAAAAAACCACTCATGCCTCAATTTCCAATGGAAAAATTATGAACAGATTTCCACTAGAATAGCATATCATATTAGAGTATATGGTACAAATAAAGATTATTATTAAATTGCTAAGCCTAAGTAATTCTGGCAAAGTGAGCAAATTCATTTATGCTCTTTGCTATAATATTCCTAAATGTGAACCAACTCATTAGTCTTCATTTTTTTTGCAAAATTATAAACGAATGGAAGCCTGAGGTCTATTTTTGACTTAGGTTTCTGTGTGAAGTTCTGAATTTATGTTCGGTCATATAGTAGGCTCAACAATTGAGGGAAGTGGGGAATGAGGGAGATATCTAATTTTCTAAGCCAGTTGTATATAGAGTGGTGTGGGACAATGATCTGAATTCT